GGAAGACTCAGTAATGTCCATAGTAGATGACGCAGTTGTTTCCACAGTGGATGACGCAGTAATGTTCACAGTGGATGACTCAGTAGTAGCGTCCACAATCGATGACTCAGTAGTATTTTCCTTAGTGGATGACTCAGTAGTACTTTCCACAGTGGATGACGCAGCAGTGTCCACAGTCGATGATTCAGTGGTAGTTTCCATTGTGGATGACTCATTATTGTCCACAGTGGATGACTCAGTAGTAGTTTCCACCGTGGATGACTCAGTTGTGTCCACAGTGGATGACGCAGTTGTTTCCACACTGGATGACACAGTAGTTTCCACAGTGGATGACACATTAGTATCCACAGTGGATGATTCAGTAGTAGTTTCCTTAGTGGATGACTCAGAAGTAGTTTCCACTGTGGATGACAAGGTAATAGTTCCCACAGTGGAAGACTCAGTAATGTCCATAGTAGATGACGCAGTTGTTTCCACAGTGAATGACGCAGTAATGTTCACAGCGGATGACTCAGTAGTAGCGTCCACAATCGATGACTCTGTAGTATTTTGCTTAGTGGATGTCTCAGTAGTACTTTCCACAGTGGATGACGTAGTTGTTTCAACAACGGATGACTCAGTAGTAGTTTCCACAGTGGATGACTCAGTAGTAGTTGTTTCCACAGTGGTAGGCATAGTAGTACTTTCCTTGGTGGTGAACACAACAGAAGCCTCCATTGTGGTTGACTCAGTTGTTCTTTCCACAAAGGATGACTCAGTCGTTCTTTCCAAATAGGCAGGTTCAGAAGTAGTTTTCACACTTATGGGTACTGTAGAAGTTTCCACTTTGGTTGGCTCAGTAATTCTTTCCACTGTGGTGGGCATAATAGTAGTTTTAACAGTGGTGGGCATATCAGTTGTTTCCACAGTGGTGGGCATAATAGCAGTTTCCACGGTGGTGAACAAAGTAGTTGTTTTCACAGTGGTGGACATAGCAGTACTTTCCACAGGGGTGGACATAACACTTGTTTTCACAGTAGTGGGCACAGGAGTAGTTTCCACGGTGGTGAGCACAGTAGTAGTTTCCAAAGTAGTGGGTACAAGAGTGACTTCCATCGCAGTCAACCTAGTAGTTCTTTCTACAATGGTGGGCTTAGTGGTAATTTCAACCCTCGTGGACTCAGTTATGTCCGCCATAATGGTGGTCTCAGTGTCAGTTTCCACGGTGGTTGAGTCAGTGATTACTTTCATTGTAGTAGACCTGGTGAGGTTTTCCAAAGCAGTGTGCATACTAGCAGGTTCTGACAATCTCCTTTCTCTTGTGGGAATAAGTGTCATAGCAACATTCTCCGTGGAAGGCATACTCACTGTAGAAAGATCGTGAGGTATAGAAAGAGTACTTGTCCCTGCTCTTATTTCTTTTGTGGAAAGAACAGCGGTACTTTTTACAGTGCTGGACCCAGAAATAGCTTCTGCGGTAGTGCGTAACGCAGTGCGGTTGAGCGAGTTATCAGTGGTACTGATTACTTTAGGAGATCGTTCCTTCTCCTCCACATAGCGAGGGACGCCTATCGTCTGTGCCAAAGTTGTTTTGGTAGAGTTTCCTGTTGAAATATTCTTTGGCCTACCTAAAGACGGTAAAAAGGCAACGCACAGCAAAAACTGTATCTACCGTTAATGGGTCTGGATAAGGCTGACGAAGGAGGTTGTGGTTTTAAAGCATTTATGATCTCTCAACCGACGTAAAGCAACTGATCCAACAACTATTTATGTGCCAGAACGTTGATCTTTTTACATCGTGATACTAGCAAAATGGGAGTCCCCGAGAAAATGATTGTTAATTGAATAGCCAAATGGAAACATACCCTCACAATCACCATTATCATCTCGAGAGTAACCCTCACAGCAAAACTGACACCGTTCCCCACATGTGTTATGAAGACAGTGGCAAGCCATGCGTCCATCGTCCGTTAGACTGCACTCATCTGCATGGCCATTACAGACACAACGTCCTTCTATCGAGATTTCGCTGATGGAGTAGTAATCCTAAGTAGGACAGAAAAAAAGGTAGAGGGCGAGTCTTTTACCATAAATAAGGCGTCAATGTTAATGTGCGCGCTACTCTCGTGTGAATATTATGGATAGTAATCATGCACAATGCAATACAAGGGAATTACCTTAAAACTTCCCTCTTTTTGAAACGGTTTTCCTTTTTACCCACGCATGAGACTGCTGCGAAACCGGTAAATTTTCACAAATGTACTTGTTCGAAAATAAGGGGTCCCGCAAAATAACACGCCGCAAATATTTACCACCTTCGGTCATTTGAAAATGTTTGTATACAAATCAAATGCCAACTCTTCTTGTATTCAGATTTATTAATACTATTTTTATACTGATATAGGGCCTTGTAACTCCACTTTATATTGCTAGAACAGATAACAATTTAAAAATATTACTATCTCTCTCTCCTTGTTAAGATTAGACTGCTTGAACAATATCGTAAAAATTGGTCCCATGTTGAAATGAAAATTTCCGTGAACTCAAACGGACAAAAAAAACTCTCGAAGCCTTTTTATGGTTAAGAGTAGGGTACTTACCGAATTGCTGTCGCTTGTTTTAACGACAGGCAACATTTTCATAAATCTCAGCTGAACACTGGCCGCCAGATGATTCAGAAACTGTAAATAAAGAACTGCTATAAAGCTCTGTTTTCCACGAAAGCAAGTTTCAAAACGTTCCAAATGGAAAGCAAGCTAACTGCCTAATGTAGCGTGACTGGTTAAAAGTTGGCTCAAGTTTCTAAACCAAACTCTACTGAACAAAACCGAAGCAATCATAAATAACGCATTGCACTACCTTAGAAATTGCTTCGAAGATCTCTAGGCTTACCCAATCGATTTAACTACTTTTCTACCTTTCCTCTTACGACCAGCTTGAGTCTGAAAAACTTTTAACTGCCGATGTTTTCGGAAAAACCCTTTCTTGCTATCAACTTAGAGTTTTCAATTTTTGTTAACTTTGACGCGCGTGGCATACTTTTGGCGGGAAAAGTTCTAACGCGGACGATGCACAGTCGTAAAATGGCGGGAAAGTGTCAAAGCTGCCAGAAATTGTTGGCTCTCGTGATATAAATCGTGGCCATGATTGGCCGGTTGTATAATTACTTTTATTAAAAACTCGATCATTGGATAATGCAATTCAAGACTTTTTATTGGCTTAGCTATTATGGTATATGAGCCAATATACCATAATCTACAAATATGGTAAGCGTACGCGTCGGGTTAAAATTAAAAGGGAGCTAAAAAATTTAAGATTTGGTAAGATTTGTCTAATATCTTGGGGACGTTTTTAATAAAACAATTATTCCACTCGCGCTTGTTGGATATGAGATGATTATAGCCAACTCGGCGCTACGCGCCTCGTTGGCTATCTATCATCTCATATCCAACGCGCGTTCGTGGAATAATTGTGAATTGTTTTGGTTTTACGACTCTGTAAACGGCAAATAGAGGAGAAGATATGAGTACTTACAGTTTTACTTTCTGTCCACGAACCCTCTGGTTGTAAATTGCAAACGGGATTGTCTAAGCCATTGTCTAACAGTCTCACTCCAAAGTGTTTTAAGCAATCCTCTGGGTTTGTAACGTAATAATGCACCCTTTGAAAGTCACTCTTAACATCGATGGTCGTTTCTAGGGCCCAAACAGCGGGAAGAGGCGTTTTCCCTGCCTTCACAGAGATGCTCTGTATCTCGAGTACCTGAAAGGAAGATAGAATGTTAAGTTCAAGGTGACGAGTATAAACAAACTACCAGTTTTTTTTTCACCAAACTAACATTGAAAGACAGCTAATGTTCAGTTCTGCAACATGGTTAGCCCTCAAATTCATTACTCTTAAAGTATTATAGACCATCGCATGTAATTTCTCCGCACCGACTTTTAAAAGGTGTTCGTGAGCAGGCCGTTAAGTTGATTCGTAATAAACCCGTGATGATAAATAAGATACGATGAATATATGAAGTTACGGCCTGCTCCCAGTTGGCTTGTTAGCTCAATTGGTAGAACGCTGCACTAGTATCGCAGAGGTCAGTGGTTCGAATCCCGTACAGGCCTGATTTTTTTCAGGTCTGATTTTCGCTGTTGCATAAATAGCGCTCTCTACTGCGAGGATCGTGCATTATACGTATATATAACCGCAGTTCAAAAATACAACTTCATATATTCATCGTATCTGAAGGATACTTTCTTTCAAACGACCTTGGCATTGATAAATGAGGTACCTACGGTGAAATTATCTTAGTTTTCAGCGCTGCATTAGAAAAAAAAAAGAACAGCAGAGCGAGGTTTTGATCCCGTGAGCATAAAATGAATTTGTTCCTTTAAGAAAACAAACCAATTTCGCCACTGTGCTTTTGGCAAGTTATATCACTAAACGGTCTTGGAATATTTTGGGAGAGCTAAGTATAAAGTCAAACACTTATGATTTCAATAGATTAAAGGTCAAGAATATTCTCTTCATTCTTGGTTAAATGGAGATGGAAACACTATGAACGTATGTTCTAGTATTAACTTGCAAGGGGTAGTCGTGGCCGAGTGGTTAAGGCGATGGACTAGAAATCCATTGGGGTCTTCCCGCGCAGGTTCGAATCCTGCCGACTACGGTCTAATTATTTGCAGATTGCGCTGCAGAAACTTTTTAGTCTTTAGATAGAGTATTCCATTTTGGCTAAAAGGTAATTACCTTGTTCTGTATTCCGCATCGTTACTGCCTAGAATTTTCACGCTTCAGTGGCGTGCACATAAACCGAAAAATGACGGCTTTTTTCATGGCCTAATGCACGGCAAAGATTTCCATCGTGATTTTCTGGTAAACAAGCTCGGTAGCACCTCTCATTTTGTGAAATCTGTACTTAATCCCTAGAAAGTGAAGGTAATTCCCCTAAACACCTGCTAATTTCCTATAAGTCTAAGCCCTGAATTTTATTTAAGCAATAGACCACTTTTTTTCCGGGCTCTATTTAAACAATAGATTGTTTCTGTCGAGGAACTATCGGCTGATAGTTGCCCCGAGGAAATTTGATATTCTTAAAACGAATATTTGCCCGAGAAGCGAAGCTTCGAGTAAATATGCTAGTTTAAAGAACATCAAATTTCCAAGGGGCAACTATCAGACCGATAGTTCCGAGACATAAACACTCTATTGTCTTTATTGTTCACCACTAAATTTTCTTCCGCGCGCTTGTTTAAAAACAATCAAAACCCACTAAATGCAGATCAATCAAATATTCATTCATGCGTGCAGCCTGTCACAAATGTCAATAATTCGCAACCGTACATTAGCTAAATAATACGTTCTACCTGTCAGAATTAAAAAGTCACTGTTATTCCGATCTGCCTAACTTCGCGGCCGTCAAACCATTCAAAATTTTTCACGGATGAGTACTATCCATCCGGGTATTTTCCGCGGACGGGCATTATCCATCCGGGTATTTTCCGCGGACGGGCACCATGGGCTCATAGTGCCCCTCCGGGGATGAACACTATCGCGTCACGTGATCAATTTAAACCAATAAGAATCAGAGAAAATTTAGTGGTGAACTAGAAAACGTGATAAAGCCACGTGGGATGTTGGGAGAACACTCGGAAAGCTTCTAAGTCACTCGCCTTGGATGGATTTCCAACCCAGATATCTGAGGATCAAAAAGAATCTCTTTCTGTGAAGAAATGGCATGAATGTGCAGTGGAACTTCGATTTAACGAAGTGCCAAGGGACTGGGGAAATTGCTTCGTTATATCGAGGGTTCGTTACGTCGAGGTTCTGTGGAGTACATTTTACTATAACTTTGGCCGGGCTGAAACTGAAGTATCGTTCGTTATACCGAGGTCTTCGTTATATAGAGGTTCATTAAATCGAGGTTCCACTGTATATATACAGAGGCGGATCCAGGAATTTTTGATTGGGGGGGGTCCAAACTTTGGTTCAGAAAGGACTGTTGGACTCTTTGAGGCAAATTACTTCTCCCCCACACCCCCTCCCACCAGTAGCGGTTGCACGTTATAATTCCTTGGCCGCTTACCGTTTATTTGGATTCATTAAAAAAATCAGCCAGTTAAAAGTGATATACGATCTTGTCTCCAAGTTGTAAGCGTCAGGTTTGATAGGGGGGGTCCGGACCCCCCCGGACCCTCCCCCTGGATCCGCCACTGATATACGAACTCTCTATCCTGGCTTTGAGGACTAATAAATTTTCTTAGGTGTAAGACTCCTCTTTTGCGCTAAATACTTCATTACGTCATAGAGCCCGGAAAAAATGGATACTATTGCTTTTATGACATTACTAGTTACATGCAGGCTCTAGAGCATCCGCTTGGAAACTAAATTGACCAATCAGACGATGGGTACTATGTTCGTTATGTTATGAAAGCATATTTTTAATTAGAATCTGTTTCGAAAAAAAAGAAGTTAATAGCAGAGCGAGGTTTTGATCCTCAGACCTCTGGGTTATGGGCCCAGCACACTTCCGCTGCGCCACTCTGCTGACATTGGATATTAGTCTGTTCACAAAGCTGTATCAAAGTTTGCTGACTGATCGCAAATCCACTAGCATATATAGAAACAGGTTTTCATTTACAAAATACACATTAGCGCACATCAGCTTTTATTGGAAAGACCCGGCCCCAAGAGGAAGGACCGCTCATGACGCCAAAATGACTTCTAATTATAGCTTTGCTATACTAAACAGTTTCGAGGTTTCCTTGGAGAAATCAAAGAAAAAAAGGAAGGAAGATGCGACCACAAAATGCTTGGATAAATAAGCGTTCAATTGCTTCGTCACACCATTTAGATTTTAAACTATTTGTAGGGTCAAGCTATCAATTGAAGATGGCAAATAGACCACTTTCATAAATGGCTGCCGGATTAATATTCTTTTGTTTAAATTTAAATTAACCCTTCTGGCCTCGCTTGAAATAATGTATTATTTTGAATTTTGGACTGGAGAACGAGGCCAGAAGGGCTAATTTAAATGTAAACAAAAGAATATTAATCTGGCAGCCATTTCTGCAAGTGGTCTCTAATCTCGATGAACAAGCACATCTCTTACAACAAATTCCTTTGCTTAAACTGCAGCAAAAGCGTAAAAAAGATCGTAGTCGGCAGTCGAACCTGCGCGGGGAGACCCCCAATGGATTTCTAGTCCATCACCTTAACCACTCGGCCACGACTACCTTTTATTTTATCCCGCGCCTATCACGATTGGAATCAATATGTACAGTGCAACTCTGAGAAGTGACCACGAGTGATTTCTCGAACGTATCCTCCCGAAAACCTAAGAAATATATGGAAAAAGCCTAGCTCCCAAATTATAAGACACTAGGTATCTGGAGGTTTCGCCCCATTGCAAGTTTGTCTCCTACCACTTTTGCAAGTTCGCCCCCTACAGTAAAACAACTTCAGGGGAGAACTCTGACAAAGGTGGTAGCGGGTGGACTTGGAATGGGGCGAAACCTCCCTAAATCATACACACCTGTGGAAAGTTAATCGTGATGTTGACCTCTTGTAGTGTACTTTCCTTATCCTTTAGAAGAGATCTCCATTCCCTCGCTTCACTACCTGTCAGAACGCTCTTTATGCTATATGGAGCATTTGTCAAGGGATTGCATGCGGAACACGTGTCTCTTTGATTTCCACTCGTCTGGTGAGGCCCGTCTGGAACCAAAATTAGAAACAAAGGAGGCGTTGAATTCTTATTTCTAACTATGGTCATCCTGAGTGGCGGGGACATGATAGGCTGATAACGGCTAATAAGGCCTAATAAACAATACTAAGGTAACAAAGTATATTTCTTCTCTTGTAAGTTACGCATGATTTACCCGTTTCAGTCTCTGCACACAAACGTTTTCCTCGGATGTTCTTGCTGCTCTTAAGATTCTATAATCGATTCAGTATACAAAACCACGAAAGGAAGCGCGCTCAGAAGAGAGATACGCACTTGAACGCCTCGTCGATGCCGCGGAGGCCCCCTTGGTACTCACTAAGGATTTTACACGACACGCTGCGTGTGTCGTCCTCCTCGCACAGCTCTCTACCTCGCGCGTCTTATTCGTTGAGACTAGTAGTTACATCCAGGAACAGCTGATGAATGTTGATTTTCCATTATCAAATTCTCGTGGAGAGGCAATTAAAGTAATTGCTTTACTTGCCCGTCGAGGCTTAAAATCGTCGCTAGTTAAGAAGCGCGTTTAACACGCACGTGGCTGAAGCCACATAACGTGATTTGTTGGTTTCGTGTTGCTGTGATCAACACGATTCCATACCGATGATGATAGCATGACTTACAGAACACCGTCTCATATCTCTTATCGCGCCCGGATCGTATTTATTTTCGCTACGACGCAAAAGTCTGGGTGATTACGTGCTTTTGGTGGCGCAATAGTAGCAAAGACGCTCAAGTACCTTGAATGATATCTCCTAAAGAATGTCCGTCAATTAACAATTTAAAATATCTTACAGTTTTGTGTCACGCCATTTAATACCAGTAACGTGAAAATTGACATTACAACGCAATTAACTTATTTTTCATCACTGATTTTCTATCACTGAGCGATACCCCTTCAAATTGAAGATCCCGTGATAATTGTTACTCACATACGTACAAAGGGCAAAAGCTAATTCTTCCCAGTGCGGACTTATAAAATTTCATTTCCCAGCTAAAAAAGCTTATCCTCTTAGAAAGATAATTCATTTGAAGTTCAATGCAGTGGTTCATTTTCATGTCAAGAGAAGTGAAGTGTTGTCGACTCTTGTTGATCTCAGAGAAGTACATTTACAGTATATATTTGAATCAGAGATACGGTCACGTTTAATTAACGGACAACACTTTAAACAAAGTATGTTCAGAGGAAGCATGAAGTAATTCTCCCAAGTCATCTTCTTCACGTTGTCTTTTTTCGTTTTTCATTTGGATAAATCCGCCTTTGTCTATTCTTTAAGGATTAGGGTCGCCCAAATAACGAAAGCTCACTGCATTGCATTCACGTACGCGCCAGGCAGGAGTGGAGTAGGCCCAGTCGCTTTAGCACAAACAAAAGTTCTAAGCAGTTGACAGAGAAAGTATTTTAAACAGTGAGTTTGTTAACTTTTAAAACAATCCTTTGTTTATCGCGAAGCTAAAGATTAGCCTTGGACACTGCGTTTAAAGAAACAAAAGGAATTTCCTACCTTCCTTCGTTGAATCACACCAAGTCTCTGAATTTTGTTTGTTTTGGAATGCGCCAGTTTCACACGACAGAATTGTTTCCAGACCAATCTTTTCTTCGATTTTGAAACTTGGTGGCTCCACATAAAGGAGTTCGCTTGCTATTCTTTCGCTGTTCATCAAAATAATCGAAAGACACACGAGAACAAGCTGTGTTTTCGAACTAACACGCGGCAATTGGTCGAGCGCGAATCTTGACATCCTTCTCTTACGCTGAATATCGCAAGTTCACCGACTTCTAGCGTAAAATCCCGTTCTTCCAGAATTCTCCCCGAGAGGATGGCCGATGGTAAGCAATCTCGTTCCTGTTTATATTGGAGATTGAGATCTCTGCCGTTTGAATGTTTCTAAACCACGGCGTGACCTTTTGACCGCGATGAAAGCATTTCCTCTCAAAGAATGACTTCCGCTCCGTGTCAATTTTTCCGGTCGTGCGCTGATCCCATCCCACGACACACCTTAAGCTGTGCCATAAATCAAATTAAATGTTCGCTTTGATCGCCTCTTATATTAAGATAACTTTCACAAAAAAAGTAAAAGGAGGTATCAGGGATTTGTGAACACATTTTCACTACAAATCAGCCACAGCAATAGTTCTGATTCTTGAGCTTCGGCAGCTTCTTTACATTCCGTTCGTTCTAGGCATACTTCCAAATTCGAACAAGCTTCTAACGCATTTCGTGCCCGCAGTGAACTCACATTTGATCTCTATAAAATTCGCATCTACCAAGCAAGAAATAGGTTTCTCCCATTAGCTTAATTAGGATGCAGTCATGATCAGTTATCAAAGTTTCTTTTTAAAAAACGAAAAACACAAAATTGAGAACTCTCCAAATAGAGGATAGTTAGGCTACCGGCTGGGTTTACGCAGCATTCCAACCGATACTGAAAACCGAAATCCATACTGAAATTATTTGTATTCCGTTCAAACTTTAGCAGGTTTTAGTCGGAGCGTTCGTCCTTTGCACACCTAAGGTCACAAGAGCTGCGACAAAATTGCCAAGTATTCTTAAATAAGAATATCCCCAAAAAATGTGATCCTGTGGTTTAAGGGCGTGTGATGAACATGGACGAAACTGACCCTGCTTAATTCGATCGAAATTTTTGTAACTGTATACCATCCATTGGTCAGGAGCCGATTGAAAATGCCTGTTGAGTTTCGTACTGAGTCATCCTTTCGAAGTCTTGAATTGCTTTTCTGGTAAGTTAATGAGCTCATTAACTAACATTTTGTAAGTTATGCTCACTATGGAGAAATTAGGATAGGTGAATCATATGACACCAGTTAAAGTTAGATTGTCGTCGGAAATTTTATTTGAATCTAACTTACTAATGGGTAGTGGCTAATTTCTCATCCTTTAACTCTTCATTCCCTGAGAGTGACCAACTTTTAATTTCTCCTTACCGCGTCGCCTGTGAACAAGCATTAAGGTTCCAAGAAGCTATTGATTGTTAGGCAAATTCTCCTTGAAAGGAAAAGAAAAACGTGTGGAGAATATGCATATTGATATCAGGGTGTTAAGGGTTAGAACACTGAGGCGGGAGATTCCTGAGCTTTGCGAACGTCCCCCAAAAGGGTTGGACTAATAAGCCGGCAGAACATTTTTAAAAGAGTAGACCCTCGTCACTTAGTTTCTCTCTCTCTTCTGCCTCAATCCCTCGCGTGCCTACCGCTAGCCTTCTTCAGTCCCCGCTAAAACTGCGGAAACAGGAAAGACCACCGCAGGGGCTGTCAAACCTACCACAGTAACGACAATTTTTTTTTTTCGAAATTGGCAGAACTTCTTAAATTTGTCGAGAGACCTGTTCTCTCCGCTGCATTAGATTTTCAAAGTTTGTGACCAAAACTTTAATATTGTTGAAGGCTCTTATCAGTAATGCCGGTGAATATCAGTTACGAACTAAGTCATTTTTTATATGTCCCTGTAATTGTTAATCATGTCACCAAATTGTAAACGATTGCATCAGAGCGTGGGATATATTTCATACTGAGTGTAAACAAAGTCCGTAGTTAATTTACTGTAAGGGAGATGTTGTGATTGCAGGCGTTTATTCCGCCTAAAAGGGAAGGGAAAACGTGTTGTTGGGTATTAGCAGGGTTCCCACGCGCGCTTCGCGCGCGTGGGGCAGAGCCCAATACCCATGGAATATGGTCAACCTCTTTTCGTTTGGTTTTCACGTGACTGACCGAGCCTACGTACTTACGTGCCTTCAGGCTGCACGGGTAGGGTAGGGGAGACTATCAGAACGAAGGGAGGGGTGTCTCAGGCGAGTCTTGGCAAATGCACATCTTTTGTGTTATCAATATTACGAGCTTGGGAGCTCCGCTTTTAGGCTTGGCTAAATCTATATATTAAGAATTAGTATAGCCATATTACAATAGTTTGGCCTGGAATTTTATTGTACTCGTGATTGTAGAAAAAAAATGCCAGTTAGTAGCGACGCAAGGCGAACTATAAATACTGTGGTAGATTGTAGTTTAAAGGAGCACTCTTACAAAACCGCCCTATAATTTGAAAACCCGAAAAATTCAGTTATTTTATCATAATATGAATTTTTTGCGATTAATAAAGCCTTTTCAACAATAATTTTAGTTGAAAGTTAATTCTAGGGCGAGAAATTACGATTTGAAAACCGTTCCGCCATTAATTTTCGTAATCACTTGCCAGACTCAAGAAGACTGGCGCGAGTTTGGAGCGTGACGTAGATTACTCATTTGACGCGCCGTGCTCGTGGCCAATTTTCAAAAACAGTATTTTGATCGTATAACACTAAGACTAAGGCTATTTCACAAAATTTCACGAGGTTTTTGGTGCGTTCGACTCCGGATCGAGTGGTCCGGGTTCGAGCCCCGGCCGGGACATTGTGTTGTCCTTAGGCAAGGCACTTTACTCTCACAGTGCCTCTCTCCGCCCAGCTGTATAAATGGGTACCGGCAATTTAATGCTGGGGGTAACCCTGCGATGGACTGGCATCCCATCCAGGAGGAGTAGAAATACTCCTAGTCGCTTCATGCAACAGAAACCGGAGTTAAGCACCGGCCTGATGGACCACTAGGCTCGTCGTAAACAGACTTTACCTTTTACCTTTAAGACTATTTCACCAAATTTCACGAGGTTTCCGTACAAATATAAAATGACGCCAACAGTATTTTGAGTAATCTACGTCACAATGGGAGTGACCGCTGACCGAAGATAAGTTGGCCGTGATTACGAAAATGAATGGCGGAACGGTTTTCAAATCGTAATTTCTCGCCCTAGAATTGACTTTAAACTAAAATTATTATAGAAAAGGCTTTATTAATCGCTAAAAATTCTCATTATAATGAAATAACTGAATTTTTCAGGTTTTCAAATTATAGGGCGGTTTCGTAAGAGTGCTCCTTTAAGTTAGAAATGTTAGAGTGAACTGTTACAACGAGAGAATTGTTGTAACGTCGCCAGTAGTAATCGAGAATGAATCTTGAAAAAGAAGATATTTTACAGTCCGCTTCAATTGATATCGGAGTTATCCAGCGACTGCGGAGTCCTTATCCGAAGTGAATAGCGAGACACTTATTTATCTATGCACACTCTGGAGATAGTATATTATTCTTTCGCAAGAGTTCGGTTACTTGTAGATTTGGCTGACGAGGTGTGTTTTTTATACATCATCGAGATGGAAATAAATGCATGCTTCAGAACAGTCCATCCCTAAAATCAGAAAAATTTGGCAACCAGCCGAAGATTTCAGGTGTGGAACGTTTCTCAAACCCTCCTTGGAGGACTTTCATATTTTAGCTCTATCAATATGTACAGGAGCCTCCTGATATGTATTATGGTGTGTCCGTTATCCACCCTGTTATATTTAACTGCCTTTGTGTAATCGGTGATTTAAATTTATCTTCGCCCCTTATGTCTACTTTAACAAAACCATTTGGAAGAACTTGCTGAACAAAAGCTTTCAATAATTAGTAGTCGAAGAGTTTTCACAATCAATTGAAAATAGACACTAACTCGATTCCTAATTGCTAACGCAAATTAATATAATTTTAGAGCTTAGCAAAGAGTTTTCAGCAACCTGATTCGTCGAGCGGTTCCTTATATGACGCTATATAAACCGCTCCACGAGGTTTATATAAAATTTTAAAATAAAATGACTGTGAATAAATGTTACTAAAACGGTTATGATTTTAGAAATTTCTCTGTTGTTCAGCTCTGAAATTATACTAAAACAATTATTCGCCTCAGGTTCGGTGAATATTGTCAATCATTATATGGCTGTGTCTTACAAGGAGAAATCAAAAGCAAAGGTAACCCTATTTACGGCCCTCCTGAGCTGGCCGATGCCTTCAACAATCACTTTTCTTCTATTGGACCCAAGCTTGCTAGCCAGATTTATTCTAATAATGGTCCATCACACCTACATTACCTTGAGGGAACTGAAAAACGTTTTGAGTTAAAATGTATTAATCCTTCTAAAGTGTTCTCACTTTTGTCTAAGCTTTGTAAATCGAAAGCCACAGGCTTAGATATGATATCTTCGCGACTTCTTAGGGAGTGCGCCGATCTGATAGCTGATCCATTGTGTTCTATTTTTAATCAGTCCATCAGATCAGGTGTTTTCCCTCAGGAATGGAAATGCGCAAAGGTTATCCCACTTTTCAAAGAGGGAGATCACTCCGACTTAAACAATTATCGCCCAATTTCTATCGTCCCTATAGTAGCTAAGGTGTTTGAGCGTATCATTTACGACCAGGTTTACGGTTATCTCACTGA